AATTAGTCATGAGATAGTTTAAGGACTGATTCATAACGAGAGAACAGTACTCTTTTGAAAGAAAAAAAGAAACGAAGCCCCGTTAAGAAAGTGATGCATGCGTAAAGCTCATATATAAAATATATGTAATAATTGGAATCTTAAGGCTGTAGGACTAGGCTAATGGCTGCAATTGCACACTGAAAGTTAAAATAAGTAATTGGTGAACATGCTCTGCCCTCTGGTTGTGTTGCATACTTGTGTACGTCGATGTAAGGAGAGTTAACTATTCCTAATCTCTTCTTGTGTTATATTTTGCCTGGAATTCACCTTTGTTGCTCCAGATCTTTGACATTTTGCTGTCTTCGATGTCCCATACATGTTCTATTGGCAAAATTTTGCTGACCTTGCTGATCAAGGAGGAATATCAAGAGCACGGAAGCAGTCCAGAGATATTCAAGCCATGTGAGGCCTATTATTATCTGATTGTAATATGATTCTAGAATAGCGTGCCAAAAGATTAACCAATCAATCACAGGCTGTCATTAATATATAGTTGAACTGACAGTTATGTTACTTATAGATAAGAGGTCATTTACTTTCAGAAGAGATAACACTCCATATCATCCTACCAAGGACAATAGCTGCATGCATCTGTAATGCCATGAGTAGGATATTTGTTTTTCCACCCATCTCAGGCTCAAACATGTTTCGGTCGAGGCAGCAGCACGCTTTTGCCTTTAGGCGTATTTCTCTAATGGTCACTCTGTGATTGCAGTGCAACGTGTCTTTCGTCGTCACTTCGATATTTCTCCACGAGGCCATGTTCCTTACTGTAAATATATTTTAATGTCGATAGAGGCCTTCAGAGCAACGGAGAATGTCTCCGTTGGGAAAGGGCCTCCGAAGACCGTCAGAACACCTGAAACGTGGTACGAGCTCGGGTGTCAATTCAGACCGGTATGTGGCAATGATCCAACAATTATTCTTACCCGCTCTCCAAGAAAGGTATCTTGATAACGTGTGTTTACAACAAGATGGGACGACAACCCAGAACAGGGCTCCCATGGGTATTTTAAGAGCAGGCTTCCTTGAATGACTGATCTCCGTGTGAGGGGATATTTACTAGCCTGCGTGCTCACCTGATTCATCCCTTCCTGATTACTTCTTGTGAGCTTATCTCAAGTCCCTGGTTTACAAAGATCGCTCCAAGACCTT